CGTAAGGTCATGACGTCACAGCTACATGCCCTCGCGCAGGAATTTCAAACAAGCGAATATGCTCACGTGAAACGTGACATCACGCGTCGAATGAAAGTGATTAAAACATGACATGCAATGCGAACTAAAGGTCGCCGTATGTCTCAAATGATTTCATTTTACAAAGTTATTCCTTTGTCTTAAAGAAAAAAAAAATTAAGAATTTTAGGGGGGATTCGAACCCACGAGCCTTGGGTTGCGAGTCAGACCAACACCCCCTAGACAGAAGGCCTCCGCACGCGTCATCCCAGTCAGATCGATCGAGGCGTGAGATTGGGCACGAGTGCTGTGTCAGTGTTCGGTTGGGGACCGTGTCCAATCAGCGCGTCCAAGGTCCGGCTCGGGCCCAATAGGCGAGTTAGCGCGATCCGACTACGATGACGTTTCATGGAGGGAGAGGAGGCCATGTGGAGACCTAGCCAGGCTGCTTTATGCAGTAAATTAATGAAGGCTACCTTTCGAAATCACGCCATTAACATAGTATTTATTCACGTGCGATACTGGCAGCCTTACCAACTCTTGTCGTTGCCACTACTCACATCTCAAGTAAGCAATAACTGTCTCGTGCTACGCTGCATAAAGAAGTAATGAAATGAACTTGTCCTGTACTAACGTAGAAGTTTGGGCTAGTTGGTATTTCATGATTAAAAATTAAAACAGCGCAGGGCCACGGACAAGGACAAGAAGGTAGACGAACAGCGCCTTGTTCGTCTAGCTTCTTGTTCTGTCTGTGTCCCTGCGCTTTTTTTATTTTTAATCCTCCTGTGCTGTCAACAACCACTTCTTGAGTTAAAAGCCTGTCTATAGTGGTATGACAGTGTTGTCCCACCCCCAGAACAGCGACTTTTGATCTCTCTGCTCTTGTGTGCAGTGACTGTGAAATACTATTTTGTCAACAATGGAAGGGCCTGAAGCGTGTGCATAACAGCACTGGGCAGAGCTTCTCCTGAACAATTGACTAGCTTCATTAGATTCAGATTGACGCTGCCTGCAAATACATTATCAGCAGTTTAGATTGCAAGCACATAATTATATTCGGGCCCAATAGCATTGTCACACTGTCAGTAAATTTATTTATGTTTTTATACAGATCAAAACCATTTAAGTTTTCCAACCTACAGTCAGAGGCGCCTTGAACAACGGCACTGTGTGTGTGTGTAAGGGTGAAAAGGGGGGGGGGGGGGCAGGCAAACACACCAGAATCTCGATATTGTTAATCTCTTCACTTCACTACTACCCCCCCCCCCCCCTTCCCTCATCGAAAGTTACCCAAATATCAACCAGGAATGCAATCTGGCACTTCACGTTGCACCATCTAGTGGCTGCAAATTAAAACACTGGGTGGGCCGGGACGGCCCGGGTCGCAGGGACTGCGTTTGGGCGCATTTGAGAAATTACGTGTGAATGTGGCATTTCGTATCGGCGTGGGCTTTTTTGGGAACAGTTTTTTCTTAAAAGTAAGTCCCGGGCTCACGTCTCTCTGACCTCACCGGGCTCCTGTGACATCTCGCCTGCTCCTAGAGTTGCCCCCAAAAATAAACGTCGGTCCTGGTGCGGGAAAGACTGCCACAGTCACGAAGGTGACTCAAGCGTCATACTTTACCGCTTCCCTTCGAGATCCTGGGAGCGACACGGCGAGAGAGAGTGAGGTGTTGAAGAGAAAGGAAGCCTGGATCTGGAACGACAGGGCGACAGAAGTGAATTACTGCAGTGCGACGCATCAAGTAAGTGAATTCTACAATAATTGTCTAAGTTAACGAAAATAGATGTACAGGCTTGGAAAGTGGTTTGACGAACTCGTTTCGCAGACTACTTGGCAAAATAACACATTTATACAAATTGTTTTACGAGTGAATTAGACAGCCACAAAAGGAAATACGATAGGAACAATCACGCCGATCGTTGCTTCGCTGTGCCGTTGAGAATCAGGCGATCGGGCCTTCAAGAAGCGAAAGGCCCGTTGACCCATTTCGGCACTAGTAGTTGTATGCGTGAATAGCCGTTCGGCACACCGCGGTCGCAATTAAACATATTTTTGGCAGCAGGCCTATGTCTACTGTGAACGTAACAGCCCGAAGCGACCCTAGGAGTCTCCTACACAAGGGCTTCTGCATCGGCTCCGGTCACGGGACTTTTTTTTTATTTTTCTGCAGGAGTGTGGCTGTCGCCGAGAACGAGACTTTTCAGTGGCGTAAAAAAGCAATGGGGAGAAGGGAAGAACGCCCCGCCGCTCCCGTTCCAACTTAATGAAACCTTTCGACGTAGTTGATACCAACCTACGCTATGGGCTTTACGACGAAGCTGGGAAAGTACTTTTAGCCAGAATATCTACACTGCACAGCGACCCTCAGTTCTTACCGGTCTTGGCCTACCCTGGTCCTTGTCACTCCGGACTATACTCCTCGCACATAATGTTGTATCAGAATGTAAGCACTCGTCTCACTTCACAAACTGTCATTTTATGTGAGTTTATTCTTTAAATGTTTTATTGATTAAAATAGTGAGCATCACATATTCAAAACAACTTACGGTTGTTTAACAAAAATATTTTCTGGAGGGGGAATAAGGGGGTCAAAAGATTTTTTGTGCAGCACGCTTGCACCTTTGCATTAATCGCTTTAATTGCATTACGGTTGTTTGGTGTTTTTGCTCCTCTATATGAAGGGCGCATTTCGGTTTGCTGGGCAAGCTGGTTACTTTCCCTCAATGAACTTGGCAGAGCATATCGCTGCAATCTGCAGAGGAACTTAGCAAATAACATGGTCGAAATATCTTTAGACAAAAAGAAGAACAGTTCGCTCTGTTACATGGAGCATGACGTATAACGATTGCTCAGTCTAACAGGGCATGTTGGTTCATTAGGCTTTAACATATTTGAGCTCCGTCATGCATCGAGTTCCGATCCCTGCTTTTCTGTAGATTGCGTGCTTTTCTGAAGATTGGAAAAGTCAGATATTTTAGTGTACAGCTGCTTTTCTAATTGGGAATTTTAGAATAGCGCACGTTAAAGCTTTGCGTACGCAAAGAATAGCGTCGTCGCCGCTGCGCAAGCTCCGAAGGCAAACCAGGTTTTGCGCTTTGCGTGCGCAATTTTGGGGCGCGCTATTTCTCGTACATAGCGTGCGTACGCAAAGAGCCTTTGCGCTCCTCCAAGGAGGATTCATGATGAAAAGTTGGCTAAAGCCAAGACGAGCGGAGTTAAGCAAAAATGGCGGCTTCCAGGATTATGTCGGCTGCTGCTTTGGCGGCGTCGTGAGTGCGACGTCGGTGGCATCCTCAGGACTGCGATTTTCAATACGAGACGAAATTGTACTCGGTTCGGCAACGATCACCGGCAACAGGATGCTTGCCACGCGCGAACACTTCTCGTCGAAGGTACGATGTGCGAAGGTCAGTACACGAGACCTCTCTTGCCGAGGCGATGCAAGCGGACACGACCGGTCAACCGCTCTCGTCACATTCCCGTGTTTAAACAAATCTAAACTGGTACTCTGGACCAAAAAACTTGTTTCTTTCTAAAGTTACAGCAATTCGTGTGTGAAATAAAAATTGTGACTGTGTCTTGGTGGCGTCGCAAGCGCGAGATACTTGGGCTTTTGCGTCGCGACGGAAAAACGCTATTCTAAAACTCTCTTGCGTCGCGGGCGCTAATACAAGCGCTAAGTTTAGCGCTGGCGTGCGCTAAAACTGCGTACGTTATTCTAAAACTCCTTAATGTCTTTCCCGTGTAATGGGTTGCACTACTCTGCTTTCATAAGTTATACAACTGGTTCGATTTTCTTCTCCATGCAAATGAAGCGATTGTGATATATTACATATCCTTGGACATCAAACAGTTTGGCTTGCTTTTATTTAATTCCACGACTCATGTATTGCTGGAAGAAATCCACAGATTCGAATTTGCATAGAGTGCAGACAAACGAATATTGATTTTGTAGCAGAGAACGTGGGTGTTCAGCACGTCGATTCTGGCTTTCTTCGTGCTATCCAGTCGTGTTCACGTTACTAAAAAAAAAAAATCGATTACAGTTACAATTAATTTTATTTAAAGAGCATTCAATTAGATTACTTGATTACCCGACAGGAAAAATAATTGGCAGTTACTTGAGAAAGTAACCGTTACTTCTTGGATCACTTCACTTCGCTTTTTTTAACGAAAGGTTTTTTTCGGGTCCTTCGTGCTGTTCAGTATTTGATTAAAGTTACCGTATTGTAAACTATTTATCTTCTTAATCCACCGAATTTGATAAACCATCATCGTGTGGAGATTTGGTTCGATAATCTCTTGGTAGGAAATTTGTACAACCAAAGGGAGCCATAAGCAACAATAGGTTGCTTATGGCTCCCTTATGGGGAGCCATAAAAGAGCCTTATGGGCTTATGGCTTATGGCTATTAGGATTAATACCTAATAAAAGTGTGGTGTAGACCGGCGAACGCGGCCGGAAGACCGCAGAACAATGACTGACACGAGACAGGGGCTGCACGCTGACTGATCTTTATGCCGATGGTGATGCTCTGATATATAATTGGTAATGCATGAATTCAGCGCCCTCTATACACAACAAAAAGTAATCAAACAAATAAAAAATTACTACGAAAAGTAACTCATTACAAGTAATTTGAATACTTGTAATGAGTACTGTACACGTCTGGTGTTATTGATGTGACCCCTTTATTCACGCAAGTGTCACGGAATGACCTTTAGGAACATCTCTATGTAGTATTTTTACGCCAAATTACAAGTTTATAAAGGTGAAGTTTTCATGATTGGGAAATTTTCTGTTAAAAGAATTGCATCGTGAGCTTATTCCGTAAAGTAAATAAGTAAAATAAGTTGATTGAACACACGACAACACTCTTTAATTATTACAAGTTTCTTTTTCTACTTTATTGTAATTGATAAGAGCTTGTTTTTCTGTCATCAACCTCGGCGCAGGTCTCAAGCGTTGACCTCACCCTTCATGCGATGTACACACATCCTTGCTGTCCTATGCATTGCTGAAAGCAAAAAAGAGTTACACGATACATATTACAATGTTAACTACCTAAATAAATTTGAAGCAGTGTGTCTTTTATTTGCTATACTTTGTTCAGCAAGGCCAAACGCAGCCGGCGCTGCGAGCTAATGAGTCCAATAAAACAGTGTCAAAAGTGCAAGCCCCTGGGCCTTTTCTGTTTTTGGTTGGTTCAGCGATGATAGAACACGTACAGAAATATGACGAACACCATAATGGTGTGCTTATGATGCTGTTCGATTGGTCCCATCGTCGTAGCGTCGGCTGCGCCTTGACTTTAGTTGAAACGGAGTGTAAACAGGCGATTAAAAATATTATTTTTGATTGGACTCTGAGATAAATTATTGTGAACGCATAGGCCGAGGGTGAGGCCTTGTCTTTATCGCTGCTTTGTCTTCGTCTTTTCGCCGCTATTTGTGGGTTCTGAAACTTTTTGTAGAACTTGATACTAATCAGCGAGTTATTCTTTTTGTTTTTATTGTCATTTGCTGTAGTAATAATTTGGACAAGATATTTCTTATTATTGGTATTACTATAAGTTTAGCATTATACTGGTAACTAACGTAGATATGTTTACTATATGCATAGATTTACGGGGCCATTGGAATATATTTTCAATAAAATGGGTGGTCTCTAGATGGTTGCAGATTTAGCTTAGTTTTTTGGAGCTGGGTGAACTTTAGACGAGAGGCTAATGGTTGAGACAAGTTCAGCAACTAACTCAAGTACCACTTAACTTTTAAATGCTGGTTAGATTGGTCATGTTTCGATTGCTGTTTTAAAATATCAAAGTTTAAGTAAATTTAAACAATGTTCAAAAGGCAACGAGCTTCGAGATATTAATCAATAGGCGATCGTGTTTTCGTGAACCGATTCCGAAGGATGACGCAGAAAGTGCGCTAGAGGTCCTGCTCACAGTGATGGTTTTAAGATTAATGTAGTGGTTTTAGTCACGTCACCACATTATCGGCAGGGCGTCCTTGCGGGATGCGCGGACGGCACACTGTAGAGATATTGACGAAGTGCTAGAAAAACGTACACCCTCTTCTGAGCATAATTGCGGGCAGAGCTCGTTGAGCTTTAAATGCATGAATCTTGAGAATCGGGCAGAACTGTAAAACTCGAAAATTGATCGATGAGGCCCGCTGGCTTTTTCTGAACGGTGATTCGCCCCGCCCTTGTTTTTTTTTTTAGGCTCTCGAAGAGTGTAATCTTGAAGATTTTGTCTTCCCTTATAACATTTTGTATTTTAATTGTGCCCATTTTTGTCTGAAGTATTAGGTTTCAATGTCTGTATGATCTAGTTTTTTATTTTTATTTTTTTTTTCTTGTGGTTGTGTTCCGGTGCATCAAAAAGACCTCGTGATTGTTTTCGGGCGCCATAAGATATCGAAGTGATATCCACAAATAATAATAAAGACTAGTTGTACTCTCTTTAAAGTTGATAAACAGGAAATACAAGCTGGGTAAAAAGTTTATCTCTTCCGGCAGACATCATCTAAGACATGAAGTAGACTGATGTACTCGAATTCACATTTTCGCCAACAACCCTCTGCAAACATTAAAAAAGAGGTGTACAGTTTCGTGACAGAAAACTTATGCAATAAACAACGGCCGGCGAAGAAATGTTTTATAAGGATAGAAATACTTTCTGCCAGTTAAATCGTAAACAATATTTCTTTTTCACAAATACATGCGAGAATATCACTTCGAGGAAGGGGACGGAAATATGACTTTTTCTTTTTGCAGTTTCTCAGCTTCAGTCTCCCGTTATTTCAATGCTTACCCGCAACAACAACAACAATACTACTACTACTGCTACTACTACTACTACTACTTCTACCACTACTACTACCACTACTACTACTTCTACTACTACTAGCAATAATATTAATGACAATTTTTTTATTTTGCTTGTGCCCATAACCAACCACATTGGTCTTCTGAGTGGTGCGCTGACATCAAACACAAAACAAGTATTAAAACTGAAAACAGAAACGCCGAAGAAACAAAACCAAAAAAGATGCGATACATGCATTGGCATACTCAGAGAGCAAATATCATATTACGCATATCCAGATTAAAGTCATGAAAACAGGTGAAAATATCACAGTTATCTTGATTTATATCGTTATAATCATTTTGAATTCTTGCTAGCGGGTACATATTGGAGATATATGACGGATAAAATGGTTAAAAAGCTTCGGCTGACCCGAGACAGGTCATGAGAATCTATCGACCGTTATATATCAACTGATTTCGCGTTGCCGTGAACAGCTTTGTGAGGGAAAGAAATGAACTGTCCTTACAACTAACTTGGATAACAAAAATCAGTGTAATAAAGTTTTATAATGGTAGAATTTCCTTCGCCTTCTACTGAATCTGCCAGGCACTGTTCTAATCATTCGTTTTTGTGCATGTTCTAGTGCAACGATTCCGGACACGGTCAATGAATTCCAAATGAAAGAGTCAAACTCTTGCCGAGATCGAACTAAAGATATATACAGGTGCAATAGGCAAAAAGCTGTTGAAAATTGGAGACACGGTTGTTAAATTACTCCCAATGTTCTGCTCCATTCACAGTGAAAGAGACGTTACTAAAAGAAAGCTATCAATACAGACACCAAGATCATTTATGAAATAACTATGATGATAAAAAATAGATTAATAATCTTGGTGTAATGGAACAACTGAATCATATCATATTCAGAGCTCGGCTCCCGTATTATTTAATATAGAATGTGTGATACGAAGACGCACAAAGTAATGAATTTAAAACGTCATTGTGTACTGTGTCCTGAATGGCCAGGTAATGAATAAACACATATATTTGAATGTGGATAATAATTGGGAAGTAACTAAATTACTTTCTGAAATGATTGCCTATTTTAAATTATTTACTGTTAAATACTAGTAATGATAAATGTAATTTAACTAATCTTGGGGCAAAGGCAGTGATTGTAATGCAATTAAAGTTTTAACATTATTCACCCAAGTATGATATTGTCCTGCTTCACCCTGATTCGCACTTGTCGTAATGCGGCGGAAAACTCGTTTAAATAGTAAATAACATTTCAAATTCATGCAGTATTTCCAAATACATATTAAATTTTGCTAAAGAAAGCTCACCGCGCTCCAGTCACATGGTTCGTTGTCTTTCAGTTCGATTGTGTCAGACGCTCCAAAAACACCATTGAATGCACCTCTAGCACATGTAATCTTGCACTTCCGTAAGTTTGCTTCAGCCTGAAAAGGAAGACGACTGCCGTGTAGCAAAGCCACCGGACACGAAAACATTCATGCACAGTTTAGGAATTGTGCTTGTCCAATTTACTTACAACAATCCTCGTTTTATAAGACTTATTACAAAGGTCTTTTAAGTGCCCAAGAAAACGACCTTTATTAGGCACGTAAGGTGGAAGATCCTTTTCATCTATAGCGTCCACTGAAAAGACAACAATGAGGTATAAAATTAAATAAAATGACTTTTGTTGCAGCTTGCAATTAGAGTTCAGGGAATGCAGCAGTGTCCAAACATCTACGGGAAAGCAGCTGATCAGAACGCTGAGGAAATGACCAGAATAACTGAGTGTCATGCCAAGCTTGTGTCTGAACCAAACATGTAGTCATCGAGAGCTTTAGGAACGCGGGGCGTGGCGGTTTCGGTGCATCTTCTTAACGCTCCTCAGCCTATGAGATTATGGCCTTAACCGATAAGAATGCCTAAGGACGGTCCACTAAGCAGGAAGCATTGCGTTTTTTAAACCGTCAGTGACTATAGATGTTTTTTTTTTTTTTTGCTACTTGGCAAATGAGTCGTGCTTGTTTTCTTCGGAATATTCAAACTCACTTTTTTAGAATGTGCCTATTTTACTCTCGATTTTTTTCATGTCTGGAGATTCAATATATTATTCGTACTGATTAAGGACCCTCTAAGGTATATAATATTTTCCCATACCCGACATCTACACCGGTCGACAGATTGTTCCGGAGAGGAGCCCTTTTCTCTCAACCACGTTATTCGTAGGGGTTATTCAGAGCCTTCGCTGAATTACTCGGTATTTAGCCATTTTGCTGTGGGAAGGTTTGCACCGCTGCAACAGACGCCTTAAAAATGGCCGTCAGTTGCCTCTACTCCCCGTCTCTTATTTATCCAGTGCAGTACGATTGCTCATAAATGTGAATACACACGAGTGCTAAGCGGTTGAAGGCCGACGTACAGAGGTGGTTTTGTGCAGGGAAGATAATCCTCTTAGCGTCCTCCTCCCCTAAGCTGCGAGGGGGGACGTATTGGGGCAGGGTGAAAAGTGGAGAGTATATAGAAAGGAAGGTGTGGGCGAAAGGGGAAAGCTCGAAGTGTACGTCGGCCTCTAAGTAATGGAATAATTCCCTCTTTTATGGGGCAGGGCAGATACAATGTAACACATTAGTTTACATTAAATATTGTGAACGTGAGGTCGCTCCTTAACTATTGATTGACTACAAGAAACTTTCTTAAAACTTCAAAACATTTTAGTTTCCAAGCGTTTTAGTGAGCAGCAGCAAAGTATCTACAATTCACATACAAATGAAAGCAAATTGAATGTATCGTATTGTAGTTTTAAAGCGTGTGTAATTTGAAACGTTTTATAAAATGTCTGTACTGACTCGCTAATGCAAACACATAGCTAATGCTAGAAGGAATAGAAGCAAGCAAGCCTTATTTCGGCACTACTAAACTGACAAAAATGTAATAAAATTTGCGTAAAATATTTACCACACTGATGTGCCAGCAGGATGACCAGAAAAATGAAAATGAGACGAGCCATTTCTTTAAACGGTAAGAATGATCTTCGTAGTCACAAAATATTTCCTATAATCAAAAAATAAAACAACATGCGTCAGTGTATTTACTATTTTTGTGTAATCAAACGCGTTTTGGACGTCAGTTTGAGAATCTACCAAAACCCGTAGTCCTTAAAAAAGACGAAGAGAACGAACGAGGTCAATCTTGGGGACAAAATCAGAGCATCGACTGGTCCAGAACAAATAAGATGTGACTATATTCTTTAAATAAGTGTTACAACAGGAACCTCTATTTCGTCACCTCCGTAATCCTTCTCTATTGCCCTATGAAAACCTCAGCCAAGGCAGGTGACTCTCAGAAAATAAAAATTTATATGCTCTCATATTGGTCTCCCTCACCCTGTTAGGGAAGTGGGAAATAAAACTTGAAGCGTTTTAGGAAAATAAAGACGGCTCCATCCCCAACGAATCGAAATTTAATAAAATTGTCACTGAAAAAATCAAGGCAAGTTCATACCCCATATCAAAGTGATAATTGGGGTTACATATATGTTATTTCTGATGAGAGTGGCTTTGTTTTGTACTTTTAGCCTCTTAAACAATTTTTATCACTTTCTGGGGAAAGACATCAGAATGGCAAAAACCTGATCTTAGATTGAGATGCCCTTTTAGGGGCGAAGCTCCTTAGGGTCTAGCCTTGTCCATCCGGCGTCCCTGCTCACATCGATTGCAATCCCATCTGTCTTCTTAAAAGAAAAGAATGTTTGCGCTGTCGACAGGATTTGAACCTGTGCGGGGAGACCCCAATGAATTTCTGGTCCATAGCCTTAACCACTCGGCCACGACTACGGGATGAGTAGGGGGCTCTGAGATGTGGAAGTAACTCAAGAGCTGGGGATGTCATGGATGAAACGTTGCATGTGGCCGCTCAACGCCTATACAGGAGAGGCGCTGCGGTTAAATGCGTATATAGTTGCGTTAAACTTTGCATGCATTGGCTCAACGTTTATATACGACAGGGCGCTGCGGTCAAATACTCAAATGCGTATATAACCACGTTCCATACCACACATTCTCTTTCTGACATCAGCACTACCTATTAACAAAAATCGTAATATCAGCACCACCAGCTTCGCCCCAATATACATCATTCGCCGCGTAGAGATACGGTCATTTCTTGTCCTTCAGTGTGCTTAGAGCTGAATTTTCTCACATTGTATTTTCAATTCAAATCACCGCAGTTACCGCAGTCATCTTTTTCAGTCTCATCCATACTCGTTGTCAGATGAAGAAAAAAAGACATTTGAGGCATTATACACGAGCTGCGCTACAAGATGTGGTTGAACGCACGTCATGGTAAAATAACAAAAAGCCAATTTAAGATGCACCTAATGCAATTGAATTCAACACGTGAAAAGGGAAAAATAGTAACGTTTTGTGAGGAGCAGTACTTTATTTACTGTGGTTCCTGAGGTGAATACGAGAATAGTGTGGCGGTACTTTCAGTATGTAATGAAAGCTGGGTATTTATTTATTAACTTTAAACGCGGTTTTGGCCAGGGTAACTTGGTGAAAACGCAAGACGCAAAATAGAGATGCAAAAGTGTTACGACTGAAAAAGGAATTTAGTTCAGTGTTCCCACCACAGCAGGGCCACCTCGGGTGGCATCGCACGCTCATTGGCTGACCTAGTCGAGGTACGAGTCTCGATGCATCAACAATGGCACCCTTATTTAGCTATTTTGCCATGTATGACGAAAGTATGAGAGCAAATATTTTAAAGCAGGACACGGTTTTAAACGGAACACCCTAATCCCAGAAATTTGTACCTCCATCCGTACGTATATCCGTCCCCGCATTTACCGTCGACATTTAACGGCAAATTTGACGTTACGTTTCCTGAGAATATCAGGTGACACCGCGACTTGAAACAGTGACGTCACGTCGCTGAACGTTAGGGCCCGTGACGTCGGGTGATATGACCTAAAGTTCCCCTCTAGATTAAGGGGAAATTGACATCACGTGCCCTGAATTCACGCGACGTGATCACGTGAAGTGATGTCATGATGTTAAGTACCAGTGTCACGTGACATTATTTTACCCACCACCAAGACGTTCATCTTCAATTTCCGGAACGACTGTTTAATGCCTCTTGTACTCGCGAACAAATTTCTGCAGCATTTCAGGAGTGAAGAGTTCGAGTGCACAACTTTGATCAGCGCCCAAGGTACGCGAGCTCACGTGCACGCATAGCTTTGACTGCATGGTCACATAAAGTTGTCCGCGAGTTTACAAAAACTGAAACGCACCGTCCTTAAATCAGTTAGAAGTGATAAGTGATTTATTTACACGAAACAGGTGGGCACACGACAGCGTGCCAGGCAAAGCAGGTAGATAAAATCCTTACGCTAGTGCGCCTACTAGCCTGCCGCCGTGTGCGGTGTGAATCCAAAGGGATCCAGCCTATAATAAAGCTGATGCGATGATTGTGGCTATGATTGGAGAGGGGAAGGGTGTAAGGTACGGAAGGGTGAAAGTTTGGAGTATGGCAACATGCACAGCGACGCTTTAGTCGCATATACCCTGCATAGTTTCCGGGACTCCTCGTGCGATGTCGGTAGAGGGCTACGATTAGCCAACGGTATGGGCATAAAGTCTTAGAGTGGTCCTGCCACGGAGAAGCTCGGCTAGCCTATCCCAACATTCTGCCCAGGTGTATGAAACTTCGAAAATAAGAGACTCTGGAAATTTTGTGTACGGTATATCGCTAAGGGCATAAAGCGCACCCGTTTAACGTTTTGTTTCATTTTATTTTGTTTCTCACAATCTTATCTAGCAATGCAATACATATAAAAAAGAATTATGGCAAGTTAACCGACGATGATATAAATACAATAGCGCTTGGTTAATATAGCAAAACTCATATAGACCATTCCATACGAGCGCTTCTGGTCGTTGCCATTTTCAACGTTCGCGCCTGTGGCACGTACTTTGCTCGCCTTCCGAAGCGACGAACATGTGCGTGCTGGGCTCTGACCTTACATATGGGGATTGTGAATACTGAAATTGTGTATAGAGTGTGATGGAACCGTGTTCATGTATTCCGGTCGCAGGAACGTACTGTTCATAAAAATGGCGTTCACAATTACACTATCCAAATTCAAACAAAAGATAGGTGCTCGAAGATGCAATAGTGGGTGAAGCATAGAGTTCAATCATAGAAGTGAAAGTTGAAATATAAGGCAACCCACATTTGTTTTTTGGTTTACAGTCGTAGTAGAATTCGATGCGTTCATCCACTTATCGACTAGTTTAGATGGGTAAATGAAGTAATTTTCTATTATATTTAAATATTTTGTGTTTGCACAACCTCCAATAGTGGTCAATTTACAAGCTTCTCCTCAAAATTTATATTTTCACAGTTTTACAAATTTTTCAACCCTGTTTAAAATTGATCTGTGATAAAATAAGAATAAAAAGTTTTTTCCTCCCTCTTTGGCAAGAGAAGATTTCACGCCAACTATATGGCAAACACACCAGGCAACACCTCTCTTATATATCCGTATATCGGAGCTGAACACCTGCTTCCTAAAACTCTGTAATATAAAACATGAAAAGAATTTTAAGAAAAAAAGAAAACATGTCTAAGCTTAAACTTAAACTTTGTTTAGACGATTCACTTTTTGCTTTGGACAGATTGACCACTTTATGAGTAGCCTGAATTCGGCTGCGATGGCTTCCGCTGTCCGAAGCTGATTTTGCAGCCCACTAAAGTAAAGTGTTTATATATAAAAAAGAGTTCACTCAAACATTGTGAACAGATGTGAATACGTCGAATTCCGACTAGTGGTAGAATATGTACTGTTTTCCCGATTTTATTAGCGTTCCTTTTCGGACTGGGGTCGTAGTGACAAAGTCTCGTTAAATCTACTATTGCTAGTGCCGTAGCTGTTTCAGCGGTAGAGGGGTACGCAACTCTTAGCACGCGGCTGTAAAGTATTGCGAACACAGGGGAAGATGTTTTATGTATAAGGCAAGGAAGCTATTTCTGGTTCTGCTCGTGCAATCTACTACGAAGTACAAATTGCTATCGATCGCAGAAGATCTCGTACCTTGAAGCTGCAAAAACATAATATCGGTATCTGGCGACTGGGGAAGCGGAGCGGCTTCTGGGTCAGCCGTCTGCCTTTCCGCTGCTGAAGTACACGTGTAGGGAAAGGTATGGATTTTTCAATTTTGCCAGTACAGAGTCGCATCCCGGAACGTACTGGCCGGCGTAAATTAAAAATTAAACAGCTCAACGGATTTTTTTTTTTAATATTTTGCTAGCAGTTGAGATTTCGCTAGCAGATGCGGTCTGCCAGTTTCAAACCATGTCAAATAGTTTAAGAAAAAAGAAATAAACAGCGAAGTTTTTTCTTAAATTATTTGCGTCTGTAATCACCATTAATTCTTGCTTCGGCGTAAAACTAATGTGCACCTCGTTGTTTACTTATATTCTGTGTTTATTTAATGGTTTGAGAATTACTTTTGGCGTTTTGCGTGTTTTTCTTTGTGAGAGCTTAGCAAAAAGCGTTCTTTACACACAGTGAGATTTCTGTTTGCTTGAACGTATCTTGGTTTGTAAGATAGGTCTAATCAAATAGGTGTGCTGAAAATTAAAAAAAAAAGACGCAGATTTTTTTTTTTAAGATTGGTGGGATGTATTATGCGTGCTTCCTCAAGTTTAGGTTATACTAATACCGTATGTTGCAAGAGTTGCTATCTCTTTGCGCTCGTAATATATAAACTCTCACTGATATATTTAGCGAGGTAACAATTTTAAATTTCGCTCTAGACATTGTAGGATTTTATAATTGTATATTCGACGGTCGCATCTATGCTTGTAATGTTAAATGATCACAGGTTATTGTAGAAGCCTATGTGGCTCCGCAAAAAATAGAACACTTTGATTTAACTAATCGGCACATGAACGAGATGCTAGATAACGAATAATGTTGCTTAAATGTCGGACATCAGTCCC